CCCACCCCTCCTTCCCCAGTACATTCTTCTCTTTGAAAAGTAAGAGAAAAATTCTTTCATTGTTATACAATCCCTCCCCCGTCCAAGTCCACTCCACTATGTAGCATTCGTTCTGGACTCATGACAATAATACCTAACTATATATACCTTTTAAACAGTTCTCTCCCTCATCTGTTTCAATGCAGTATACATAATTTATCCCATATTTCTCAGTCTCTCCCCACACACACCAACCCCTTCTAAGTCTCATCCCTTCTATTAGTGGTCTCTAGTCTAGCAGTTTATATGGACATAAAACAGAAAATAAAATTGGAGAGACAATTAACAACAAAAAAAATTGTTTTTGAGTTGATTCTGACTCACAGGGAACCCTGCTTTTCAGAGGAGACCTGTGCTCAGAGAATTTTTGATGGCTAACTTTATGGATGAGGATTGCCAGACTTTTCTTCTGAGGTTCCTCTGGGTGAGCTTGATCCTATGGATTTTTGGTTAGCAGCCAAGGATGTTAACCATTTGTACCCCCAGGAACTCTGAAGAGAATAAACAGAATCTCACTGGAGGGCTAAACCAGGAGGCTGTTGGGCAAACAGAGCAAGGGAACACTGCATGGTTTACAATTAAAAAAGGAGTATGTCAGGGTTATATCCTCTCTCCGTATCTGTTCAATGCTGAGTAAGTCAAGAAGCTAGAATCTATGAAGAATGTGGCATAAGATTGGAGGAAGATGGTTAAATAACTTGAATTATGCAGATGATACATATGTAGATGATAGATGGGCATGTTGCTAGGAGAGGCTATTCCTTGGAGAGGAGCATCATTCTTGGAAAGGTGAAGGGTCGGCAAAAGAGAAAAAGACTCTCAGCCAGGTGGATTGACACACAGTGACTGCTGCAATGGGCTCTAGTGTGCCCGGAAGTGTGAGGATGGCACAGGATGGAACACGGTTCAGATCTGTTGTTCATAAAGTCGCTAGGTGTCGTATTCAACTCAAGGGCACCTGACAAATAACAACAACACTGGAGGACTACATACCTTTCAATGTGGGGATCAATTCTTGCTGGGAAAGATGACAATATTAATCGGCACTAAGTGATATTACCAAATGCATTCCTTTATATTTCACTGGGATAAAGTTTACTTTGGCTCCCCTAAAAATATTTTTTTTTCATTGTGGTTCTCAGCAGCTCAACTTGTTCTGCATATGGTTGTGTGTTTAATTACTGATCCTTCTGTAAGTGTCTGCAATTAGCACTGTGATGATTAATAAAATAATGACTTTAAAGCTCCATTTAGCCAGCAGAACTGCACCATCAGGTATAATTAATTCATCATTAATAAATCATGGCTGATTAACTAATATGTTGATTACCAACACCTTACTGAACAGCTCCCACCTGAGCACAGCTAATTTTTCCATGCTGCTTGGAGCTGGAAGCTAATGGGGAAGGAACAAAAAGCTTTTCTAAAACTGCACTCGGCAGCAAGTATATCAGTACAGTCAGGGAGATTGTGAGGCATGCACATTTACAAGTTATCAAGCTGTATGGACAATTGTCACTTGGGAGAGAAGAGGGCTAAATCTGGAAGCCTGAACATCAGTGGTTCTCAGACTCGAGCCCGTATGAGAATGGTCTGGAGCGCGAGATGAAGCATAGCCTGGTGGCCCTCGTCCCTCGGTGGTAACTCTGTTGGGATGGGAGTGGAGATTGTGCATATCCAGCAACCTCCCAGGTGATGCTGCCCTTAACCATAGTTGCAGCCTTCCTCATACACTGGAGATGACTCACCTCTGCTACAATTTCCAACTCCTTCTGACAGATTTTAAGAAACCCAAGGGTACTGAGTAACACACTGTATGCTAAGAAATCTGAGAAAGTAGTGGGATGAAGAGAAAAAACTTAGAAAACATCGAGAATGGTTGTATAACTTGACGTATAGAAACAATGTCACTGAGCTGTGAGTGAACAGACTATTGGATTGGTGTGTGTTTTACTGTGTATTGTCTTAACAATATTAAAAAAAACAACTTAGCAGACTCTTGAGAAAGTTCAGACCTTTCAGACTATGCATTTTTATACATGACTTTAGTCTAAGTTTGGGAAAACCTTATACTTCGTGGTGAGTTGTGAGCAAACTAGTGAAACATTTATTTCACTTTAAATTATGAGAAACATAATATTTCTGCCAAAAAAATTACTCTTATATAGTTTGTTGTCGTGTGCCATTAAGTAATAACTGAGTCATAGTTGAACCTCCAGCAGGTTTTGATAGGCTGTAAATCGTATGAGTATTGTCCATATTTCTCATGAGAGCAAATAGTGGGTTTGAATTACATTCCTTCAGGTTGGACTGAACTTCAACTCCTTACTACTAGGTCACAAGAGCTCCCGCTTACATCCTTCAGCAAAAATAATTAAAAGTAAAAAACATGGTAGCTATTAAGGTGAAAAAGGTAAAGCATTCACTAGTAATTCCTGCATATTGCTGGTTTAGAGATGGCTGAGTTTTGCCTCAACAAGATCACCTCAAACGACCATACTCATCAATATGAAAAAGTCCCACCCAAAAGTCAAGCATCTAAATTCAATATTACAAATGTCACTGAATATAAGGTTATGTTAAAATGCATTTTATTGATGTAAGAAATGAATTTAAGTTTTCATTGTAAAGCCACATATCAGAAAAAAAGATTGAAAGATTATATTACTCTCAATTGTTTACTTGAACAATAAATGGTATAAAGTATATACACTTTATTATTATTATTATTGATTTTATTCTGATTATTAGTTCTTGTACATGAGTTCACAATATAGAAAACACTTTTAGATACATTAAATTGCCTTCAATCATCATTCTACACATAAATTACTTTTCTATCCTTTTCCACATACATTTGTGATTCTCCATAGACATAACAGTAATAACATGTATACCTTTCTGTAATTTTCTTTATTGGTTAGAATGTGTCTTGAATCCCCTAGCTGCTGCTCCATGAAAGAAAGACAGGCAGTATCCTCCTGAGCAATTTACCGCCTCTGAAAACCCACTAGAGGGTCAGCTATGGGTAGGTTCCAACTCAATGGTACACAACACCTTTCTGTATTCCCTCACAGTTGGCCAAATCTTTTCAGCAACTACAAAATATTGTCAGACGTTCTCATCTAAATTTTAGTAGTTTAATTACTCCCCATAAACTTATCTCCCACTCTCTGATGAGTAGTCAAAATCAGAAGAATTGAGGACATTATTCTCTATTACTGGTCATTTACTTTTTCAGTTTCCACTTGGAGCCACACCTTTGTTAATTAGTCAGGAAGCATTCTTAAATCTCCACAAATGTGTCTGCATTTTTCTATTTTGGTGTAAAAATGTCTATGCAAGTTTTCCCAAGGCAGCCCATTACATTTGTTTTCTTGCAGAAAGCACTGGTTGTTCAGGACAGTGGTGGGTCAGCTCCTGCGTCTCTAGGCTGTCAGCGTGCCCTCCAGGACAACAGCAGCTCCACCCTTAATGTCCACACGTCCGTCTGCACGCACCGAGATCACCAGCTCTCCTCCTCGTAAAGAACACTGGAAGGCTAGAGAAGTCAGAGAAGAAGCCATAAATCAAAATCCATCTTATCATCAGCCCAAGCTCGTGATGGGGCAAGGTTTTGACCTATTGTTCATTGAGTCGATGAGTTGTAATTGACTCAATGGCAGCTATCCACAGCAACAATCATCCTCCAAGGTCAGCTGAAGAATAAATTTGTTCATCTGTTCATGGCTACCCACTGACATTCTTCTGAGGCCCACAAAGGCCAAAGACACAAACTGATCTATAAAAGGTACACCTTCCCTTTCTGAGACTTCTCCTGGGCCCCTTTCCTTTTAGATCTGTTCTGTGCCAGACACAGCCCACTCAAAGCTTTACGGCATTGAAGTCTATGGGGGAGAGAATAGTCTAAAAGTATTATATTTTAGGGCATTATTTTTATCGTAGGAGTACGCAATGAAGGTTGCAGA